AGGATTCTGACCTTTCTTCTCAACGGCTGTTTACATATTTTTACCCCTGAATTGTGGGTAAACAGCCTCCTCTATTAGATAAAGGCTTTATCAGCTCACGGGCTCATCCCCTACACACAACCTCCAGTACAAGTATGCGTCAGGAGCAAGCTAAATGTGGTGAGTCTCCCAGCTTCTTATCTTGCACTTAATTGGAAGAACCTTGAGTTCAAAGTATAGGGACCCAGCCATCTCTGGCGTGCGTCGGCTGCCACCTGCTGGGAAATTCTGGTATGACGTGGTCTCCTCGGCCAGCAGGCTTGCTCGCTGGGGAAGAGGTTCATTCACTCAGCCAAGCGAGATCTGAGTCAGCCAGAGTCCTAGGCACTTGGAATGATTCAGTGAACAAAACAGAGACCCATATACCTGATCTTTTGGAGCTTATCATTTTTCAGAGGGTAACAGGCAATAGACAATATCCTACAAATACATGATACCATATGTTAGGAAGTGACCAATGTATGGGAAGATTTTTTTTCTTTTTAGTAGAACATGTAAGGGGGGTTGAAGTGCTCGATGGGGGAAGGTGAGTTGTAATTGTCAAGAGTTTTCAGGGTCAGCCTCATTGAGGAAGCAACTTTGAACAAAAGCTTGAAGGAAATGAGGGAAATTTCCATGGAGGAAGAGTGAGACTGGCTGGGGAGATGGAGTGCAAAGGCCCTGGGGTAGGAATGTGCTCCTCACATTCAGAGAATACCAAGGAGGCCTGTGGTGCTGGAGGGAGTGAGCCACGGAGGAGAAGTCTTGGCAGTGAGCAGAAAGAGGGGGGGCCAGAAGGCACAGGGTCTTGTGGGCCATGTTTAAGGGCCATGGCTATATTAGTCAGCTTGGGCTGCCATAACAAAATACCAGCTATAGCTGTAGCATTTAGTTTCTCCTTAAGAGAAAACCTGGTGGGCATGATGGCTCACACCTGTAATCCCTTTGAGAAGCCAAGGAAGGTGGGTCACTTGAGCTCAGAAGTTCGAGACCAGCCTGGCCAACATGGTGAAACCCCAACTCTATCAAAAAAAAAAAAAAAAAAAAAAAAAAAACCAAAAAAAAAAAAAAAAAAAAAAAAAAAGAAAGAAAGAAAGAAAGAAAAAAGAAAGAACTATGACAAAATAACTTCCATTGACTTCCTTTAGACATATAATTTCATTTACTAGATATATGAACCGATCCTAAAATATATGTGTTGTCCCTGTATTACAGACAGGTAAACCAAGGTTCAGAGAGTTATTGTATCTATCACATGGGAAGCTGGTAATTGAAACAGTCTGTCCAAATGTGAAGTCTTAGCTCATTTCGTTAAGTCACTCCTACCTCCCTAGGTATGTATATTCACCTCTGGATTGGATTTGCTAATATTTTGTTGAGGATTTTTGCATCTAGGTTCATGAGAGACACTAGTCTGTGATTTTCTTTTCTTGTGCAATCTTCATCTGGCTTTGGAATCAGGGTTAAACTAGCTTCACAAAATAAATTAGGAAGTATTCTCTTCTCTTCTAGTTTCTGGATAACATGGTGTAAAATTCGTGTTTTTTTATCTGGAAGAATTGTTCAGGAAAACCATCTCCGAAGCTTTTTAAATTATAAAGTCCATTTCTTTCATAGCTTTTGAGCTACTCAGATAGTCTGTTTCATCTGGGTTGGGTTTTGATAGGTTGCAGTATTTACAGAATTGGTTTGTTTCTTTTAAGTTGTTGAATTTATGAGCATATAGTTGTTCAAAGCATCTGCTCATCATATTTTTAGCAACTACAGGATTTGTAGTGATATCCTCTGTCCCATCTCTGAAATTGTGGTAATACATCTCTCTTTTTATTTTTGTCAGTCTTGCTAGAGATGTATCAATTTTATTGGTTTTTTTTTTTTTTTGAAGAACAATCTTTTTATTTTATTGATTTTTCCCTATTATTTTCCTATTTTCAATTTCATTTATTTCTGCTCCTATTTTTATTTCCTTTCTTCTGCTTGCTTTGGGTATAATTTTATTCTTATTTTTCTAGTTTTATGAAGTGAGAATTTTGATTATTGATTTCAGATGTTTCCTCTTCTAATGTTAGCATTTAGTGTTATAAATTTTCCTCTCAGCACTGCTTTAACTGCACCTCAGAGTCCTATGTGTTTTTAATTCCCTTTTAGACTCCCCCTTTTGCCCATGAATTATTTAGAAGTATGCTGTTTAACTTCCAAGTGTTTGAAGATTCTCCAATGGTCTTTCTGCCCTCTGAATTTTAGTAACTGTCTCTGATATTACTTCATCTCCATGAGAACAGGACTTTATTTATTCACTGCTACATCACTGATGATGGGAACAGAGCAATAGTATGCACTCAATAAATAAGGATGAATGCATGGTTGGAAAAATTTAAAAATCCATACATGGAAAACTGAAGCTTAAGAAGGAAGAGGGGGACATCAGAAAGTTGATGGTGATTATCAGTGGGTGGGGAAATACGGTTGCCTTTTATTTTCTTCTTTTTATCTCATATTTTCCAAATTCTCTGCAATGAATGAGCATGTCCTATTTTTACCATTAGGTAAAGGAATTATAAAAGTGGAAGTTGCCACTGCTGATCATTTTCACCCCCTCCCTGGCAGGTCATATCAGAATGTGAGTTGCTGAAAAAACTGAAGATGACAGGCAGGACCTCAAAAGGGCCCTTAAGATGGTTCCATAGCTGAATAGACCCAGACCCCCTCAGAAGACAGGGAAGGTCCCTGCTAGCCACCCAACTTTTGTAGGCTTTTAAGATTACTGTCACAATAACTATCATTGAGATCATGCACGTCTTGAGTCACAGGTCATTCTCATCTTTCTCTTCTAGGCACACAAAGCTCCTTAGAGATCTCATGAATTAGTGTTTATCCCAGGAAATCTGGTTTGCTGTTGTAAATAAAACGTCCATCTGCCTAAGTCCAGCCATCAAAATTACTTTGACAATTTACTCTGAGGAAGCATTATTAGCATTTGCTTTCAGGGTTCATGGTGTGCAAAAGATTACTTAAAAACAGGAGGGAACAGAGAATAGATATCATAGTTCTTTGGTCATTTGTTTTTTTAAAAAAATTATTGCCATCATTTACATCTTTAGTCCCAGGCTCTTCATGATTTTTCAAGGCAATTACTTTGGGAAGCCAAGTGGCTGAGACAATCTTATAATAACCTGGCCAGCCTGCATCACTACGTAAACAGTTTTTAGGTATGGACAATTTCTGAAGATGAGTGAACATACTTTTCTGCTTTTTAAAATAATCCTGAAAACTTGGTTTCAATTTTTCAACAAAGTGATTGCTCAGATCTGAAAATGTTTTTTCACCCTTTTCTACTTTTGAGGTGAGGTTATTTCCTGTAAGATCCAGGGATTTGGGAGGGGCTTAGGATAGGGCCGTTTTATAGCCTGATGCCTGGGGATAATGCAGGATGCCATGCACGGAGATGTCCCACAGAAGGCAGGGAAGCAAGTGTGGCAGTGGCTACATCCCCTTTGGAGCTGAGCCAAAGAGGGCATCAGGATCAGTGAGATCTTTATTAATCTATTCAAGTCTTAAAGAATAGCTGAAGACATAAGAATCTGGAAAAAAATAACATAATCAAATTGGGGAAGAATTCCCCCAATGAAGAATCCACATCCCAGGCACAATTCATGTCAAACAACATAGGCTACGCTGAAACCAGCCAGAAATGGGGTATTGTAATATAAACCAGTCTGTGTCCTACAAGTCATTCAATTTCTATAATTCCTGGGCAGTTGATTTGCTGATTTTTTTTTTTTTTTTTTTTTTTTTTTTTTTTTTTTTTTTTTTTTTTTTTTTTTGCTGTTGCTGAGTTGACTGATTTGAACTATGTCAAAAGGCACAGATTTGTTTATTCATTTAATTTTTATTGATACCTACTGTTCAGTTTAATTCAAAATTATTAATCACTCCTCCGTGGCTCCCTGGTAGAGACCAACCTCAGCCTCTTTGGGAGACTGTTCACCAAATAGTTCAGTTCTCTGCTTTCTGAGCATGGGAGGCTTCTACTTCCCTGACTGTGAAAGTTAGGCATGGCCACAAGCCCACTTTGGCCCATGAAATGTGTACAGAAGGGACACATTGGGCCAGTGAGTAATTCACTCCATATTCTTTCTCCTGTTGTAATTCCGGATGTGTGTGTTGAGGCAAAGACATCATGGGTCCCAAACTAACTATGACAATGCAGAGCACTCCATGCTGACCCGCAATAGACAGGCAATGTGAACAAGAGAAAACGTTTATTGTCTAACACTGCTGAGATCTGGTGGTTGTTACCTGCAACGTCACCTGGCCTCTCCTCGCTGATGCGCGCGCACAAACATACACACACACACACACACACACACACACACACGTGCATGTTTTGCACATATGTTGTGCTTAGGAAGAAGGCACTCTCTCTTTGCCGCAACTCTCCCAATTGGAAATTCTCTTTTGTCCTGCCGTGGGATTCCTGTGGCTGATTCACTGGATTTATTCATTTCTTGGTTGGTTCTCCATGTAGAAAGCCAGAGGAGACTTGGAACGTATGTACCCCAGGGCGGTGGGTAAATCCAAGAGAGACACAATCTCTGTCTCTATGGGCTTACAAACTGGCTTGGCAGAAGAGAGATCCAGGCAATATATACTGATGACAGCCACAAACGGGTGCTTCAGAGCAAAGTGACGAGATACTTGCATGGCAGCAGTTTTAAGAAGGACTGCATCAGGTGGGGTGCAGGGGGAATGTAAAAGCAGCACCAGTGCCAGGTGGCTCCTCTCAGCCTCTCCAGATCCACCCTTTGCCTCTCTCCATGCTGCTCACTACCCCACGAGACTGACCTGTCTGTCCCACAGTAATAGGCTGTGCCACCTCTGGTTCTAGGCTGAGTCTGGTCAAGGGGGTCTCTGGCAGACTAAAAGGAAGCTGGTGAGTGAAGGTGGCGTATTTCTTCCTCTGTCTCTTTTTTCACAGGGTCATCTCAGGCTGGCTGCACACCTCAGCTGAAGATCCCAGCTCCTGTCAATGCCACAGTCCGCTTGACCGTCTCCTCCCAGATTCAGTAATTCTCTCCTGTCTGCCCCTTAAGGCCTAGGGGTGGTAAGAGCCCTGCACTGAGATCCCAGCTCTAGGATATGCACCAGCCCTCTTGGTTTCCCTATACCCTGCCCTTACCTTAGTCAAGGCAGGTGTGGGCAGGATATGCCTTTTTCTATTTTAGGGACTCCTTAAAGCATCCTGATTTGAGTGTGCCATCTGTTTCCTGATAGCCCCTGACCACTAGGTCTTGCTTTGGAGAGCCAGAAGTAAAAAGGAAATGAATGCTTTGTCTAATTATAGGGTCAGTTGGTAAAAGAGGTGGGAAGCTTTTTAAAATGATCCATTCTTCATCAAGAAATGAGTTATGAAATGGCTTTGCTTCTCCCCAACCAAAGTGAAAGATTTTTCTCTAGAGTTAAAAAAAGGGTTGGAGGCCAAGTATCAGCCTCTTTGTACCTGTGATGAGCAAATGGGCTGTCCTGGAGCCTTTGTCTCCCAAAACCCTTCACCAATACAGAGGCCAGCCAGGATTTCACGTCACCAGCAAGGAGCTCCCCCAATCTCCTCTTACCTGGCAAAGTTGACACCAGAATTCCAACCACTGTTTTTAACTTGAACCTGAGAGCAGAACCTAATTTCCAGATGCCCAAGGAAAATTGTAACTTTTCTTCAGAGTTTCCATATTTAGCACTAAGCTGCTTGGGAAGGAGGCACACTCTCCTTGCCACAAGTCTCCCAACTGGGAATTCTCTTTTTCCCTGCAGTGTATTCCTGTGGTGAATTCACTGGATTTGGTCATCTCTTGGTTAGTTTTCCATGTGGAAAGCCAAAGGACTCTTGGATCTGGGAGTGCTCTAGGCCCTGTCCTGTTCCCAATCCCCAGGGACCCTTGCTCCTTAGCTGTATCCAACTCTGGAGAGGTGCAGCCAGGCAGAGGCTGGTACCTGGAGCCCCAGCGTTTCCCAAAGCAGCTGGAAGAAGCAGACACATGATTACAGCTGCTGGGGGGCGGGTCAGCTCAGGCATGCCAGGATATAAAGAGGGAGGAAGTACAGACAGCAATTTGGAAGATTTAGGAGTTCTTGGGCTGTCATCGGATTTTATGCGTTGTCATTGACATATGTTTGTATTATCTCCAGAGCAGGTACGAGCTGGGAAATAGGAAGGCAGGGCATGCCCATGTGCCAGGTCTGCACAGCTGGATAGATGAGGAAAGATGTGGAGGAGGGGCCGGTGATTGTCTGGAAGCCTAAGGATGTTGTTTGGCCCTTGGGCTCCAGAATATGCATACCAGGACCTGGGGTGGCACCCACCAGGAAGCAACAGAGAGGAGATAAAACTCACAGCAGACAGACTTGCCTTAACAAAAATTCCCTTGAATTAAAACATGCTTTTCAAGAAAACAAATATCAATTCAATCAGCAAACAGCAGAGAAGTTTCTCATCATAACAGCAAAGAAGGGCCAGGTTGCTGACCAGTGTAAGAGCTTCAGAAAAGGAGATGGGAGATGAGCTGGCCAGAAGGAGCAAGAGCACCGTACATCCCTGGACAACCTCATTCTAATTGGCCAAGGGCTGGGATGTGCATTTGGGAGTGCAGGAGAAGTGGCACCTCACAAAGGCTAGATTTTCTTCTAGAGATGACCAAGCCGTAGGTTCTCAAGGCAGTGGCACTAGGGCAGAAAACTCTCACACTTTGATATGCACGCACAGCCCTTGGGGATCTTGTTGAAATGTAAACTCTGATTCCATGGGTCAGGCCTGAGATTCTGCATTTCCAACAAGCTCCTAGATTAGGTCCACTTTGCTGGTCCATGGAACACACTTAGAATAAGTAGCAAGGCATCAGAGGACACGGACTTTTCTCAGTGATGCCTGTGCTTCCCTCCAGACTAAAACAGAAGCAGACATAAATGACCCAATTCAACAGCATGGCAAGTTTGGTGCTAATGACCCAAGCCCTGGCCTGGTGACCAAGTGGCTGCTCAGGGAACTCCAGCTCCAAACTCCTCCCCTTCCTACCTCCCGTCCAAGAGTGAGTAACATGCCAGGGTTGATTGGGGTTCACTGTCCCCAGGGAAAGGTGGCCCAGTCACCAAGTGTAAATATATAGAATGGCTTACCTTTGCAGAGCTACCACAGTCCTGGACCTATGGGCCTAGAAACATGACTTGCCACTCACTCACTCACAGTCATTCATTTCTGCAACAAACAGTTCCTGAGCATCTGCTATATGCCAGGCCCTGTGCTCAGCCATGCTGCTTGCTGGCATTTCTGTAGGATTTTCAATGTACTAGCCCTGGGGATGAACAGCAGATCGTGCCCTCAGGAGGCCTAATGCAGTCAGCCCGCTGGAGCACATATGACAAACAATACAGATGTTTTCATTTATTATCATATTAATCATTATGATGGTAGCTTATACTTTTGGAAGCCTGCCATATCCTAGCCATTGTGCTAAGCACATTATATGGGTCATCTCATCAATCCTCACAACAACCTATGTGGCAGGTACTATTATTAAACCCACTTCAAAGAAGCTCAGGGAGGGTAAGTAACTTGCATAAGAACACCAGCTATTGAGGAGAGGAACTGGGAGGTATGGCTGGGCAGGCTGCCTCCCTCTGTCCCTACATGCTGGGTCTGAGTGTCTACTCATGGCCACATTCCCTCCCTGGGGGGAGAGCTCCTGGGGAGCTGATGGCAGCACTGAGTCTGGAATTCAATGGGAGTGCATTAGATGACATGGGTGATCCGCGATGAGGACGGACGTGTCACATTGTAATGACTATGCACACATCTCCCCTGAATCCACAGAGATGTGGCGGAGACCAAGAGCTCCAGTTCCTGGCCCAGTGTCCCCCTCTTTCCCAGAGACACACCACTTCACTTTGCTACACCTTGCTAGGCAAAGGCCGTATGCTCCCCATCTCCTTGGCCTCCCTGGCTGTCCACATATCCACATCCACACATCCACACCCACTCACACACACATGCACGCGATCATACCCATTCCATGAGCCCACATGCCCAGAGACATGCTCGCACCCATATACTCACATGCATACACTGCCATGCACAACACACACACACACACATGCATTCACACACTCTCACGCACACACACTTCTGATGGCCACAGTCTACTCCTGCATAAATCTGTTGCCCACCGCATGCTGACCCATGCTGCTTGCTGGCATCCTGTTGGATTTTCAATTTACTACCCAACTACCAGTCCTAATAACATCAGATAAGAGGGCTTCTGCTGTGCTGTGCTTGTGTTCAAAAACTAAATGCCGTTGAGCCGGAGTTAAGTCCAACCTCAGAGAAACAGAATATAAACACCCACGTGGCCCTGGGTCACTGAGTTCCTCAGACATTATGTGCTATGGGAGTTCCAGGAAGGGGGGATTGCATGAGTTTGATTGCCAAAGGCTTCCTGGAGGAGGTGAGATTTCTGATTGGCCTCTGTTATGAGCTGAATTGAGTCCACCCCAAAATTCAGATGTTCAAATCCTAACCTGTAATACCTAAGAATGTGACCTTATTTGGAAATAGAAGCATAGCAGAGGTAATTAGTTAAGATGAGGTCATAGTGGAAGAGGGTGGGACCCAATCCGATATGACTAGTGACTTTATAAAAAGCAGAATTTGAAGACAAGCACACAAGAAGATGAAGGCGGAGACACAGCTGATGCAGCTAAGGAATGCCAAGGAATGCCAAAGATTGCTGGCAAAGCACCAGAAGCCAGGGAGAGACCTCAAACAAATTCTCCCTCCCAGCAAAAAGGAGGAAGGAAGGAACTGCCAAAAGAAGCAGGCCGGGCACGGTGGCTCACACCTGTAATCCCAGAACTTTGGGAGGCTGGGGCAGGCGGATCACCTGAGGTCAGGAGTTCGAAACCAGCCTGGCCAACATGGTGAAACCCCACCTCTACAAAAAATACAAAATTTAGCCAGGTGTGGTGGTGGGCGCCTGTAGTCCCAGCTACTCAGGGGGCTGAGACAGGAGAATTTCTTGAACTCAGGAGGCTGAGGTTGCAGTGAGCAGAGATCACGCCACTGCACTGCAGCCTGGGTGACAGAGTGAGACTCCAACTCAAAAAACAAAAAAGCAGCAGCCCTGCTGACACCTGGATTTCAGACTTCCAGCCTCCAGAACTCAGACGGTACATTTCTGTCATTTAAACACCCAGTTTGTAGTACTTTGTTACAACAATCCTAGTGAACTTGCACAGCCTCGGAGGACAGGTAGGAATCTGTGATGCACAGAGAAAGCAAACTGACCATGGTTGTTGAAATTAATAGAATCGAAGCATCCCTGTCGCTACCACCTGGGGCCAGAGAGAGGCCTGGCTGTTGATGCAGCCATGTGAGAAGGTCAGAAGGCCAGGGCAGGAGATAGGGTCCAGGTGGGCCCGGGCTGCCTGCCAGCTTGCCCCGCCGCCTGGTTGCCAATGACCATCTGTGGCTAGGAGGAGGCGCCCAGGAAGAAAACTTGGCCATATCCCTGCCTGCCTTCCTGGCCAGGGGTGATGCTCTCTGCCAGCTGGCCCAGCTCCCCCACCACATACCTGGCTGGCAGTCAGTAAACAGTGTGTGTTTGTAGGGCTCTGCGCTGAGGGGCATTAGATCCATGCAAAGGCTAATAAATTAGAGACAAGCGGGATTTGCCGATTGGCTGGAGGTTAGAGCCGCAGGACCTGACATCGGCTCTAGGTCTCTTCCATGGCCCCAGGCTGGCTCAGGTGTGAGCTGAAGAGGGAAAACTGTCTATTTAGATTGATGGGTTCCCCTGAAAGATCTGGTAAGTCCTAACCTTGGGTACCTCTGCTTGTGTTATTTGTAAACAGGGTCTTTGCAGATGTCATCAAGGAAAGACAGGCAACGCTGGATTCAGTCAGGCTCTAATCCAGTAGCTGGTGTCCTCTAAAGACAAGGGAAATCTGAACACAGACACAAAGAGGAGAAAGCCATGCAAAGACACAGAGACACACGCACACAGGGAGGACGCCATGGGACAAGGCAGGCAGAGATCCGAGTGGCGCACCTGAAGCCAAGGAGCACCAATATTGCCAACAACCCCCCAGGGCTGGAAGAGGGCAGAAGGAGCCTCCGCTAGAACCTTCGGAGGGAGTATGCACTGCCGGCACCTTGATTCCAGACTTCTGACCTCCAGAAGCATGGGAGAAAAGATTCCTCTTGCTTGAAGGCACCCAGTCTTTGGTCCTGCATCATGGCAGCCTTCAGGAATAGATCCAGGTTCTTCCCTGCCTGCCCGGTGGAGCAGCCTCCACCGGGAACCTCTACCAGCAGGGAGAGGCCCCGTGTGGAGCTCAGACCTGCCGGAGGAACTTCTCTCAGCCTCCTCTCTCCACACACCCACCAAGGTGTGACTCCCTCCCCTTTACTGTTGGAGCTTGCAGGTGCTGGAGCTGTCCCCGCCTCTCTGTACAGTGGGGAGCAGCCCTCTCTGCTCTACTTCCTTTTCTTTCTGTTGAGACAGAGTTTCGCTCTTGTGGCCCATGGCACAATCTCAGCTCACTGCAACATCTGCCTCCCAGGTTCAAGCAATTCTCCTGCCTCAGCCTCCTGAGTAGCTGGGCACCTGCCATCACACCCAGCTAATTTTGTAGTTTTAGTAGACCCGGGGTTTCACCATGTTGACAAAGCTAGTCACCTGACCTCAGGTGATCCACCCACCTCAGCCTCCCGAAGTGCTGGGATTACAGGCATGAGCCACCACGCCCAACCTACTCTCTCTACTTAGAAGGCTTCTTGTGACAATGTAAGAGAAAGGAGGTGACAGAGCTTTGCAACCTGCAGAGGCCTATGTGCTCTGGTGACCAACTCACTGTCTGGTGTTGGGACAGGAAGAAGCTCCTGATACGGCAGTAGGCTGGGAACCAGGGAGGAGGAAAGACCGCAGGTTACTCCCAGGTACCTGGCCCTTCTGCACCCCGCGGTCTCCTTCCAGGTGCCATAACAAGATGGCACACATCCTTGGCACGGTGCTAGAGGCTTTTCATTGGCTGGCTTCACTCACCCCTCCAGACTTACTGCCTGGCACCAATCGTTTTCCACCCACCCAACTCCACGCTGTCCGCAGCCTCTACCCCCAGCCACCTGATTCTGCAGGCCAATGTCACACACTCCCAGTCCACATTCTGTTCTGACATTTCATGTCACTTAGCCCAGGGCCTGTCTGATCCATGATGGGTGGTCTAGGCTGATTGAAGGAATAGCATTGAGTCTTTAAAATGAAAGCGTGTTGCCTAGCTTGGTTATTTTTGAATTCCATAGTTCATCAAGGACTCTGTTTACCTGAATATCCTCTGCAGAACACCAGTTCCATAATGTGCTTCACATACACAACCCAGTTCCATAACTTAATACATTTTGTAAAGGCTACATACTACTATAGCCTCTTTTACAATTAGCATGCCCATTAGCGCGCTAAAGGCTCAGATATTCTGCAGTAAAGAAACCTGTTTAACTTTGTTTAACCAAGTATGTCTCAAATTTATTTGAACCTATGTGGCAGAAAATGCTGAGTGTCTGTCTGGCATTCTTCATTTCCCTCTTCTTCCTTTAACATGGAACCCCTGATGGCTTTAGCTTGGCACATCACCACCCAGAATAAAAACTAACTTTCCCAGCTTTTCCTGCAGCTAGGTGCAGCCCTGTGATATATTCTGGACAATGAAATACAGGCAGACATAAATCATGTATGATTTCCAGGAAGGAACCTTAAAGAGGGGTGTGTCCTCAGGGAGGGGAGCATCACACACTGGGGTCAGTTGCAGGAGGCTAAGGGAGGGACAGTGTGGGGCAGGGAGAGAGAATGTGGCGAGAAATGCCAAATATAGATGATGGGGGAATGGAGGCAGTAAACCACCTTGCCATGTATGTACCTATGCAACAACCCTGCATGATCTCCACATGGACCCCAGAACCTAAAGTACAAAAAAAAGAAATATGTCCTTCTCTTCCCCATGCATTCCTCCTCCTGTCTGAAATGCAGATGCAATTGCTGGCATTTGAGTAGCCATCTTGGGCCATGCAGTAGCTTCTTATGGATGAGCTAGGACTTATTCAGGAGTCCAGATTTACCTCCAAACTTTGTTTATCTACAAAAAATAAAACTCTTCTTTAAGCTATATTAGATGTATGTTCTGGTGTTTTCTGTCCCAGGCAGCCAAACATGATTTTGCCTGATGCACCCTAAAGCCCCCTTTTCCACATCACCTAATTCTGCAGTACGTTATTGCAGAACTCTTGGTCATCTAGAACATGGACAAGGCACACGAAGCCTGGGGCACTGTCGACTCAGTCCTGGTTTTCCCTGCCTCCACCTCAGCATGGGTGAAGTAAAACTATTTCTGCAAGATGTTGTTACAGAAATCTTGATCCTCTACAACATATGTCTTATGATGAGCAAAGCCTTTGGCCAGGGAAGGAACTGATATCAGGGTCTCATCCTCCACTGGAGTTATGGAGTGGTTGAATCCAGCTGGAAGAGTGGGGCAAGAAAAGGCAAATGCCAACCCTGAGAAGGTGGGTGACCCATGGGCCTGACTGCCACAGTCAGGGCAGCAGGAGCATGGTGTTCCTACCGCCTTCCCACCAACCTCACCTGGCTGCCCATCTCTCACATGCACTACTCTGTGGCCACACCGGCTGCCCTTCAGTCCTTCCAGACTGTCCTCCATGGCCTCCCAACACAGCCCCTCCACCTGCCATTCTGCTCACTCCTGGCTGCCACCCACCTCCCCCTACCAGCTCTTTTTTGCCTTTTGGATCTCAGCCTGGACATCCCTCCTCAGAAGCCCTCCATCCTCACCCTGTATGAAGCAGCTCTCAGGCCCTCCTGTCCCTCTGCATAGCCTACTTGATCACAACTCTGACCGTATTGGGGGGTTGTTCACTTATTTCTTTTCCTAATCCCCACTGGCTATCCAAGTTGAAGAGGGCACAGTCTTTGCATGTTTTGCTCATCACTGTGTACTTAGCACCTAGCACAGAGTGTGTTGCTCCATAAAGATTTGCTGACAAGCCATCCATGGGTGAATTGCAAAAGCCTCGGGGCCCCAGCTGGGGGACTGCACCCTCAGCCAGAATTTCATTGCAGTCTTGCAAAAGTACCAATGACAAATCTGTTCATCAGCATAAAACAGACACTGGTGTGCTGGGTGTGTCCTCACCCACACTGTCACCTAGGGGACATCAGTCAGGCCCTGTGTCCCAGGCCTCACTAGCTTAAGCCATCACTCCCTCCCTAGATTGCAGCTGTCGTGGGACAGCAGTGGGGGCATGAAAGAAAGATCTGATACATTGTGCACGGAACATGCTAAAAGTAATGTAAGCAATCCAAGGACATACTGTGAGAAGTGCATCCTCCTCCCTCCTAGCACCCAGCCTCCCAGTCATCTTCTCAGAGGCAACCACTGTCCCAGCATCTTGAGTGTCCTTCCAGAGGTGTACATGCATACACGGCACACGCATTCAAAGGCGAGCATGTAATGCATATTATCCTGTACCGTGTTGTCATTCAATTGCTCTGCTTTTCAACCTAATATATGTTAGAGATCCACCTATATGAGGCCACCTCATTCTTTCATCTGGATCACAGGCTGGCATTCTATTGTATGACCGACACCTTGGTCCCCCAGTGAAGCGGGCTAATGAGATATCTCATTTCTCACCTAAGTAAAGAATGCCTTGTGAATACCTCTTTGCAAACATGCAGGAGTGTGTCAGATAAATACCTGTAAGTGGAGTTTCTTGGCCAACAGGCATGTGCCCTTTAGCTTCTGTTAGAGAGTGAGTGCCACCATGCCCTCCTAAGAGGTTCTGCCAGTGGGCCCTCTCATCCAGAATGTATGTGATCGGCAACGTGTGTTCTCATCTCCAGCACGTGGGATCTTCTGACCCTACTTCAATCCTGTTTGGTCTGGTCTCTGCTCCCTACCCACCACTGCCCACCTGCCCTCCCTCTGTCCCTGAAACCCAGGCTCCTACCTGCCCTCTGGCTCTTGAAATTCTATTAGTCCTTGCCTTCAGGCCTGCATGCTTTGTCTAGCATCTCCCTTCAACACTGGGAGGCCCAAGAGTGACCAAAATCCTGTTACCTGGGGAAGCAGGTAAACTCCCAGAATTCTCTCACTGTGAAATGCACTTTGTCTGGAAGATACAAATGTCCATAAAGTTCTGGAAAGAAGCCCCATGCCAGGGAAATATGCCCTCATAAAAGTGTTTCACAATAAGCAGTTGAAGCCAGCAGAAGGCATGCTCTATGGCTCTCTACAGTGTGGATCTGTCATCACCTGACCTGAGTCACTGGATGTGGAATGGCATAGCATCCTGATGATAACTTGACCTTTGACCTTTAACTCCCAATCTGTTGGTGAAGAGTCTTCTCTTTTTTTTGAGACAAAGTTTTACTCTTGTTGCTCAGGCTGCTGGAGTGCAATGACATGATCTCAGCTCATTGCAACCTCCACCTCCCAGGTTCAAGTGATTCTCCTGCCTCAGCCTGTGGAGTAGCTGGGATTACAGATGCCCACCACCACACCTGGCTAATTTTTGTATTTTTAGTAGAGACAGGGTTTTACCATGTAGGCCAGGCTGGTCTCTAACTCCTGACCTCAGTAAACATGGCTCAAACCTCCAAACAGAGGCCGCAGGTAAAACTCCCTCCCAGCCGCCAGCACCCCAGGGAAAGCCCCACCTCTTGTTAAGGACACATCTCAGGGCAGCCACTCTGAAAACAGTGTCTGGGGGCCCAATGGAAGCATCTGCTCAGCCAGGGATCATTTTGGTCGCCAACACTCGGCAGGACTCCCCCAGACAGATTCTGGAGCCCAGCCACTGTGATCCCTGAGGAAATATCAGCCTGAGAGCAAAGCCCCATGATGGAACTAAGCCGTTGTGCCTAGAAGGGAGGATGGAGATGCCTGGGGTAAGGTGGCCAAGACCCACCTCAAGGAGGGTCCCCAGCCCAGAAGGCTGCTGGCCTGCAGCTCAGCCAGAGAACGTCAGGGTTCTAAGTCCCTTCTGGCTGTAGGTGACGTTTGTATCTTTGGATCATTGGATACAAAGATACAAGCCTGGAGAGGTGGAAGCAGGCAGGCATGCTCTGGGGTGATTGGGATGGTGGTGGGAGTCAGATTCCTAAGGACAAGCATACCAGGACTAGGAAGGTCATGCCTGGTCTTCAGGGAAGACACTGGATGGATGCAGCTAGGCTGCAACAGTTCCACCTGGTGCAAATCCCCTTTTCTTCATCTGTGAACTGGAGAGAAGCTCCCTGGAGCCACCAGACAGGCAAACGGGCTAGCTCAGTTTAAAGCCCTCGCCACCAGATGGGCAAACGGGCTAGCTCAGGGTTAAAGCCCTCACCACCAGACTGGAGAACCGGCTAGCTCAGGTTAAAGCCCTTGCCACCAGACTAGGGAACAGGGTAGCTCAGGGTTAAAGTCCTCGCCACCAGACTGGGGAATGGGCTAGCTCAGGTTAAAGCCCTTGCCACCAGATGGGCAAACAGGCTAGCTCAGGTTAAAGCCCTCACCACCAGATGGGCAAATGGGCTAGCTCAGGGTTAAAGCCCTCACCACCAGACTGAGGAACTGGCTAGCTCAGGTTAAAGCCCTTGCCACCAGACTAGGGAGCCCTTGCCACCAGACTAGGGAACCCTTGCCACCAGACTAGGGCTAGCTCAGGGCTAAAGTCCTTACCACCAGACTGGGGAATGGGCTAGCTCAAGTTAAAGCCCTCACCACCAGATGGGCAAATGGGCTAGCTCAGGTTAAAGCCCTCACCACCAGACTGGGGAATGGGCTAGCTCAGGGTTAAAGTCCTCACCGCCAGACTGGGGAATGGGCTAGCTCGGGGTTAAAGTCCTTGCCACCAGACTGGGGAACAGGCTAGCTCAGGTTAAAGTCCTCGCCACCAGACGGGCAAATGCACTAGCTCAGGTTAAAGGCCTTACCACCTGCATGGTACATTCACACTTGGTATAACAATGCCTTCCTTTTTCTCTAGGCCTGGCACCTGTGTGCCCAAGTTCTGGATTCAAGCTAGTCTGCGCTCAACACCCAGCCCCTCTAGGAACAAGCTGTTTGGCCTCAGAAAGCCTCTCGAACTCTTTGAGTCTGCTTTCTCATCTGTAAAATGGGCATGATAACAGTGCCTGCCCCATAAGACTTGTGAGAGTCAACAAGAAAATGCACACACAATGGTTGGTGCCCTGTGGGCACAGAGGAGGTTACTCTCTTGCTAAAGATTAGATGCACTGTTGCTTTTTGGGGAAGTGCCTCCTTGCTGCTGCCATTTCTGCCCTTGCCTCATCCTGCTGGAGACTCGAAATATCTGAGGGGGCCTGGGTGCAGTGCCTCACACCTATAATCCCAGCATGAGCCTTTGGGAGGCTGAGGCAGGTAGATCACTTGAGGTCAGGAGGTCGAGACCAGCCTGGCCAGCATGGCAAAACCCCATCTCTGCTAAAAATACAAATATTAGCTGGGCATGATGGTACATGCTTGTAATCCCAGCTACTCAGGAGGCTGAGGCAAAAGGATTGCTTGAACCCAGAAGGCAGAGGTTGCAGTGAGTTGAGATCACCCTACTGCACTCTAGCCTGGATGACAGAGTGAGATTTCATCTCAAAAAAAAAAAAAAAATCATCTGAGGGGCCCTCTCATTCTCCTGCAGAACCAAGCAAAGCCCTGGTTAAGGGGGCTGCTTACTGTCCCCAGCCTGTGCTCTCTGGAGAGAAGAAACACTGCCTCCCCATATGTCTGAGGAGGGAAAGAGGAGCCTTCCAAGGGAGCACTAGGATGTTCATCTCTTTCCTCTTCCCTGCCTCTCTTTGCTGGGCTAATGTTCACTGAGCCCTTGCAGCAAGCCACGCATTGTGGGGGAAAGAGGACAAGCATCATCAGGGAGAATTCAGACCTAGTTGGAGATATGCACCCAGAGAGGGAGAGAGAGAGACAAATGACACATCACAAGACAGCCATCCCTCTCTTCAACAAAGAGGCACAGCAAAACTCTCCAATCAGTTTCCGCCTTAGGAGTTGAGAATACGAAAATGAATGAGCCACTGTCCCTATCTAATAATATAATTCCAGTCAGCAACTGAGTGCTTCCACGGCTTCTCATGCTTTGTTTCATTTGTAATCCTCTCCCACTCTCATGCAGAGTCCTAGTATCCCCATTTTGCAGATGAGGAACCTCACACTCTGGCAGATGAATGTGTCCAAGGTCTGAATAATTGCCACTCGGCATCCAAAGTGCTCTAACTGGAGCCTGCACATGTCGCCTTGGGAGCTTCGGACTAACTTCAGAGCAGTGCAAGTTGTGGTCAGGAAATAGTGTCTGAGCTGCTTCTTAAGTGACTTGGTCTCTGGCAGGTCAGGGAGGGCAAGTAATTCCTGGAACAGGAATAGTATATGCAAAACACCTGGTATAAACAAGCACAATTAAGGGACATGAGCTATTTGCTTCATTCTGAAATCTAAGAGGCTTTCAAGGTAATGGTGGGAGACGTAGTTGCAAAGGTAGGCAGGAGCAAGGCTTTGAACAGAAACCTAAAAAGTACAACTTCTGGAGGTAATAAGGAGCCATTCACGGTTGTTAAGCAGGGGAAACAGCATCTCAAAGATCACAGGTCAGTAGAAGTAAACCATATTATCAGGGCTCTGAGTGATGCGAGAGAAGAATATGGGTAGGGCAAGCCAAGAAGTGTCCTAGAGGCAGGGCACTCCAGCTAAGATGAAGGTAGCATGTTGATAGGAAAAGGCAATTGTCAGATTAAGCCACAGACAAGGCACACGAAACCTGGAACATTTTAGACTGAGTCCTGGATTTCCCTGCCTCCACCTCAGCATGGGCAAACCAAAAAAAGAAACAGCTGAGAAAGTGTCAGCTGTATAAATCCACTGAGTTCCTGCCTCTCTTGGGCTCTTGGGCTCTGCCTTTCATGCAATATTTAGATGTCCCCAAATTCTCCTCTGCTCAGCCATGCCCTACCTCCTCAGAAGAGTGAGCATGTTTCCTGGGCTCCCCCAGCCTTTGCCAGCCCCACTAGCCTTCCTGTCTGACCCCAAGATACATTTTCCAACCAGGGTTTTGGGGACTCCACATGGCCCAGCCCCTCTTCTCCCTGGGATTTGGATTCCACAAAGAACCAGCCAGAACTCAGCATTATTCTCCTCCTGAAGAAAAGAAAGCCTCAATTCTTTCTTTGGCTGAGCTTTTCACCACGACTGGTTCTCATTAGCTTTTCAAGTGAAAAATAAATTTTCCCCGATGGAACATTGCCATTTATGCAGAAAGCCATTGTTCATTTCATATTTTTTATGCTGAATGATCCAGGACTGAGTCTGCTGGGGCTCTGTCCAGGGCCCCCAGGGAGTGTGATTTAGAAACTTTCCTGACAGACATCGTTTGAGGAGACAATGTCCAGTTGCCTCCTGTTAAATCTGCAGGGTTGAGGAAACTTACTTTCCCTTTTAGTCCAAGTCCTAGTTCACCTGGCAAAGAAACAGCTTCTCAAAGTCTTCTCTTCCTCCTAGCCTCTCCTCACTCTGGTGCTAAAAAGAGAAGGAAAAAGGAAACAAAACCAGGAAACTAATCCAGCTGATAAAACGCTATACGATGCTCTTCTGAAGAACCAGAGGGGGGCCACCTGGGCACAATGCTCCCACAAAGAAGCCAACTCTGCAGGGACTGAGACCAAGAGCTGTCTGAACTCCCAGGCCAGCCCCAGGGCACTGAGCAGCAGCTTAGGATACTTAAGGAGAGGCGAGTCAAGAAAGAAGTAGCAAGATAGGAAGTGGAGAGACAGGAAGCGGAGAGACAGGAAGTGGAGGGACAGGAAGTGGAGAGTCCAGTGGGCCGATCTTGGACGACATTCCTTTGCCAGCTGCGTGCCCCATGTGAGGGGATGAGGAGATTTTAAGCTTCTACCAGAAAAACTCAAGTCTGGAGATAATTTAATTTTTCCTGGGTCTCTGCCAGCCATCTACAGAGTTTTGTGAAATTTTCCACCTACTTCCTTTGTGGGTGGGAATGCAGCCTCCATTTTAGAAACCCCATTCCCAACCGTGGTTTGGTACTCCCCCTCCCCTCGCTCCATGCTATTGTCGTTGTTGCTATCCTGGAGGTTTTGTGGATGAAGATGAAGATGTGTGAGATGAGGGGTTTACAGGGACTGGCTGGAGGTATGCCCTCTCATACACTTACACACACACACACACACACACACACACACACACACTATTGTGGAGAAGGGAGAAGCCATTTCTTGCCGGGTGGCTGAACAAAGAATCAGGTATTCCGGTGTTCTGATCTGACCCCCAAAAAATAGCCATCCACAGAGCTCTGAAACAATTCCCACTGCTTGGAATGGCAGCTCCTCCTCAGAGTAAGTTGGAAATTTTTCTACTTTATTGCATAAATATAGAACCAAATCACACACTATATAAAGTATTATATAGGAATATATAGATTTTAAAGTTCGTGGTTTTCTCCTCTTTCCTTCTAATCCCACCACTCTCGGATTACTGTTTTGATGTGTATCATTGATTTTTTTATTCATGCTTTTTTAACGTAATGCTTATGAATACGCATTCCCCTGTTGACTTTTCTTCCCAGAACAAAACTAGGACAAGCAAGTAGCTTTTTAAAAATTTAACAATATATCCTGGCCATTATTCCAGCTCATGAGATATGGCTCTGACTCTTTTTTAACAGCTGCATAGCATCTTATTGTGTGTATGTACCCTGATTTTATTAACCAGTCTTCTGTTTATAGACATTCAAATTGTTTCAGGTTTGGGGTTTTTTGTTGGTTTGTTTTCTATTATTATAAATGACCCTATAATAATTACTGTCCATCTCTCCTGCTTTACTGGGAGTTTTATTTTGTAAGACAAAGGTCTAAAAGTGGTCTAAAAGATTTATGTGTCAGAGGAAATGTATGTTCAAATTGCAGTGGACACTGCCAGATAGTATCTCAGAAAGATCTTGCAATTTACACTCCTTCAGAATAAGTCTTCAACTCCCAAACCAGAGGGTGGTAATTTCTCAGGGAAGGCCTTTTTTGGATTTCACTTCATATTTAGATAAAACATATGAAATTAGTTTATAAACTCTAAAGCATTTACAACTCAGATGTCAGCTGGTGATGACTTATTCCCTAAATTCAAGTGATAGCACTTCCAATCCCTATTCTACAGAATTTCCCTATGCCATTGCCTCGTCCAAGGTTTTGGAAGTTCCTGATGCATGGTGAAAAGTGGGGGAGTTTATAGTTTTAAAGTCACCTCTAGCCCCTCACTCTATGTAACCCTGAAATTATTCCATTTGGGTTCATTTTGCAATCCCACACATGTTGTTGTGGCCCATGCCAGATTAACCCAGACTTGGAACTGTGCCCTTTTCTGTATTACACATAGGCACACACCCTCCTCACATACAGTTATTCATAAGTGTACAGACTACTGAAGCTTCAGGGGACCTGGAAGGACTTACATCTTAGGATACATACAACTTAAAATTCAAAGTTCAATAAACCAGTTTCTAAAAATGCCCCATCTTAGTCCTTTTAGTGTTGCTATCACAGAATAGCTGAAGATAGGTAATTTATTAAGAAAAGAGGTTTATTTGGCTCACAATTTGGTTGGCTGGAAAGTGTAAGATTGGGCTGCTGCATCTGGTAAGGGCCTTAGGCAGCTTCCAGTCGTGGTGAAAAGAGGGGAAGGAAACATACAAAGAGATTACAAGACAAGAAAGAATGAAGCTGGAGGAGCCAGACTCTCTAACTACTTGCTCTCTCATGCTTGTAATCCTAGCACTTTGGTAGGCCAAGGTGGGTGGATCACATGGGGTCAGGAGTTCAACACCAGCCTGGTCAACATGGTGAAACCCTGACTGTACTAAAAATATACACACAAAAAAAAATCATCATTAGCCAGGTGTGGTGGCATGCACCTGCAGTCCCAGCTACCCAGGCAGCTGAGGCAGGAGAATCTCTTAAACCTGAGAGGCGGAGGTTGCAGTGAGTAGAGATCACGCCACTGCACTCCAGCCTATGTAGCAGAGCAAGACTTAATCTCGAAAAAAAATTATTCCCTTTTCTTACACAGTGAAATTCATTTCTGCCCAGCCCTTATTCCCAGATTTTGCCAGAGCAAGACAAAATGGTCTTTCATACAATGGACTCTACCCTCCTTAAAAAGAAGCAGGGTTGTAAGTAGCAAAAAGTTTTCACTTCTTTCCACACCAAAAAGGTTCATTCATTTAATCCATTCTCCATTCTTAGCATAGTGTTCTTTTGAAAATGTAAATCAGATTAAATCACACCCTTGCTCCATCCCCAATGGCTGCTCCAAGCCATTAAAATAGAGTCCAGACCCTACTTTGGCTTTCCAACCCCCACCCCAGATGTGGCCACTGCCTACCTCCAGGAACTCATCCCCCTCAACCTCTCCCCGTCATTCATGGCAGGCCATACTCACATTGGCCCAAGTCCTGTGACCTAGGTTGGTCTAATTACAGCAAAATTCAGGACTTTTGTCCAATAATTAGAGGGAAAGAAATGCAATCTCTTTCTCTTCTGTTTCCCCCCAGATATGAGCAAGGAAATGTGTGGCATCTTACTACCATGAGCTGAAGACAAAGCCAACATGGGGAAAAGTGCAAAACCAGGAGAATGGGAGAGAAATAGAGCCACACACTGATGCTGTTGTGAAACATCTGAATCAAACTGCACCTGAAGACAACCCTATCCCTGTGTTTTTTATATGAATCAATACACTCTCTTTCTCATGTAAGCCAGCAGGAGGGGTGTTTTCTGTTACTTGCAAGATAAGCATCCCAAATAATATACAAAATTGTTCTCTGTCCTGTTTGTCTTCAAGGGGGTCAGAATGAGGGGCATCTGGTCCTGTTATCATTAACTATGCAAATATTTCTTCCACTTCACATCACCGTCGATGGAGGCTCACTCTGGGATTCTGCTCCTCAGCTTCCCAAACCTATATCAAGACCCCACTGAATTCCCTTGCCTTGCCTCTCCCTGCTAAAAAAAAAAAAAAAAAAAAAAAAACACACAGGGGCTCAGGTCGCAGAGGAAGAGACCTCAGATAGCTGCAGCCTTGTGTTCCCATGCCCTCCCTCCACCTACCCCTTGCTGGGCATACTTGATCTCCTCTCCAAGAGCAAGGGAACTGGCTTGGGGTGATCAGTTTTCCAGATCTTTTATTCCATACTTGGATCTTGGCTTTCAAAACTCAAAGCCAAACATTTAGCTCTCATTCTCTGAATTGTCCTCTAATGACCCTCTCTCTAGGTGATGATCCATCTGCCCAAATGCAGGGAGTATCATGGATAACAGGAAAAACCAGGAGCAAACGTGGAATGAATGTATCAGCTCACCCTCTCTTGTCAGTGACCTCCTCACAATAGCTGACTGCTTTGGGTGAATGTTTTGATAAGCTCTTGGAGCGGAGGGCATGGGCTTGGGGAGACACTTTCAGGGACCACATGTGAGGAGCAAGAGATTGTTTCTATCCAGGTAACCATTCTGCTGACATTGAGCAGAGGTGAGAGCTGAGAGCAAAAGCGGGATTGCGTGGGATAATAAAGAAGTTTCTGGAGACTGTAGATTCAAAGAAAGAGGAAAGGTGAAGCAGGAAACAGAAGCTTTGAGGAAAGAACAAAGGCATTTTGAGGGCTGTCTCTGGCATTTCGCTGTGTTGTGCCATCTTTCACCGAGGCAACTGCCCCAGCGTCCCCACTGATCTCCCACTGTGTCCCCCACCAATGCGTCCTCTACACACTGACAGAATGAGCTTCCTGAGATGGAAATCTGATTGTTCTCTTTCTGCATAAAACCTTCAGTGGCTCCCCATTTCCTTCA